GTTGGACGTGAAGTCTGTTTACTTCAGATCACACAAAAACTGCACACACACGCGCACACGTTGGTTTGCGTACATGCAGGACAGATTTTACGGAATTCACAATTAAGTGATGTGTGTCTGCGCGTACCTCGCGTAAAAAGTCCACCCAGATGGGAGTCTACGAACTTATGACAAAATAAAGTGCAGTCTATTAAATGAAGCATGCATGGGCAGCTAGCAGTGTGAATAGGGACACTATACAGGAAGGACTTCTCCCATAGACCATTATCTTCGACTCCGCCAAGAGTTTTAACAGCAGGGGACGGGGAGGAGGGCTAGGCGGCAGTGACGATAACCGACCATGAGGTGGCCTTTCCCCTAGTGAGGATAGTCGGCTGGTGCTAGCGAGGGAACTGACAACAGGACGGTAGTGATGCTGGTGTTAGTTATGATGATATGCGTGATCAACATCACGACGACGGTGATGATAAGCATGATGGTAATGGTGCTGGCGGTGATGCTGTTGTTGTTGCTGCTGCTGCTGCTGCTGCTGCTGCTGATGATGATGATGATGATGATGATGATGATGATGATGATGATGATGATGATGATGATGATGATGATGATGATGATGATGATGGCGGCGGCGGCGGCAGCGGTCGTGGATGTGGGCGTGGTGAGAACAATAATGGCGGTAATGTGAACTAGGAGCTTCCTGGAACTCGCCTGTACGCTTCTATCAGGAACCCCAATAAGTGGAAAGCACGGGAATATGGACTCTTCGTATTACGGACGGCCTTTCCCTTAAATTCAGGGGGGAGGGGGGGTAGACTTCGGGTGAGGGTTAGTGTTGGGGTCAGAGTCACGGCTGAGAGGGTTAGAGGTCTATGAGGGCTACTGTTCGAGCTGTGGCTAACACAGGTGTGTCAGAGCTAAAGTTGAGACACGCAAATAGGAACCCCCGTGGAATTTGGCGCGAGGCCACCTGTAGTACGGGGAAATCCCTATTTCCGTGTCCGACCCCTTAACCTGTCCCCTACGGGCAGACACACACATACATGGGAAAGTGGCATAAACAATGAGAGTGGAGAGGGAGTGGGAAAGTTCTCACCCTTGCCAAGATGAGTGTTAATACTCATGTAGCGGGCTGTTCCAGTCAGGCTCTTGTGCTCGCGGAAGGGTATGTGTTTCCCAGTCTCCTGGTCAATGTACTCCTTGGCAAGACCAAAGTCGATCATGTAGATTATTCGATGACGGTCGTAGGATTGTCGTCCAATGAGGAAATTCTCCGGTTTGACGTCCCGGTAGATGAGGTGGTGGGAATGGACATATTCAATTCGTTGGAGCTGTCAACGCAGTGTGGCGGGGAGGGAGGAAAGACAAGGATAAAGGAGATGAGAAATAGGGGTGGCGCGATGTATAGTGCCACCAGAGTCTTCAAATCAAAGGTTTGCACATTAATCCGAGGCGTGGATAAAGTCTTGCTAGAACAACCATTCCAGGTGCATAAGTACACCTAATAAAGTGTAGCATGGTCAAAAAATCATTAGCCTTGAATGCAGCACTAATCGATGCAAATGACACTTTCTAGTTGGGTGAGCGATCAGAAAATTTGACCCCTACGGTGTGCAGATTGTTTGAAAAAAAGAACCTATCGAAGGAGAAGCTGGGCGAAAGTGACGTCAACACTGTACATCTCCCAACATATTCCCCATGGGCACTGAGAAACAACGCCCTTAGTCTATCTTCGTCGTGTACTTTGCCTCAGAAGTGAGCTGTAATTGTTTTTTGGTTGTTCTGGACAAGGCTGAAAAAGCTGAATTCAGTCGCTGAAGTAATACCAGAGGGTACTAATGAATCAAACTCCTCGTAGTTGCAATGGGCAAAATGTTAACTCATATGCGAGGATCTTGGCTAATAATTGTCCTTGTGACCGTACAACGAGGCGCCTGGTAAAGAGGATAGGAGAGCTTATACCGGTCTGGCTAGACAGAGGGGGGGGGAGGAGACAGATCGATTTTGAATTATATTCTTGAACATAAACTCGATACGAATCACCGAGTCAATGTCGAAGAGGACTTTCAGGTTGTCTACCGGACAAACCAGCAGACTTCGCCAAAGGCCTACGCCAACGGGCGCTTACTACAGGCCCGACAGTGGCTGTATGGCTGGCGAATCCAACGCTGTGGTTAGAGAGGATAACACAGGTGTTCTGTCTTCCGTGGATAACACCGACCCCAGATGGTGGTCGCATGCCATCCCCTAATTCCCTGATGGTAATGATGTGTACACCACGTACTCGACTTACCAACACCGCTCACAGCCCATGTCCCCCCCTGCCCCCATGTCGTCAATGACCACGACACGCCGAACTCATCGCGCAGGTGCCGTGGGAACGACGGGTGGTAATGAACCCCGAGACACTTATTGACTCTATCAACTCATATTTTTATTTCGTATGTAACTGATAATGAATTGTCGGAAACATGTGTTTGCTAACTGGAATTTTCGAAATAAAGATCCATAAATATGAGTTCCACCACGGTACTTCAATGGGCCAAAACAGCCACTAAAATCTTCGGGACAAACAAAGACTGTTCGAGGCCTGTTAGAACTGGTTATAATCCCTCCAGCGAGTTTCGCCAAGTGTCCACTTTTCAGTCGAAGTGTTGAGAAAATGGGAGCGGAGGAAGACGTAGCCAAATGAGCCGTGTGTCATGCTGTGAAGACGATAAAAATTTCAAGTCGGAAACGGGCGTCCGCCGATGCAACTGCATGAACAAAAAACCTACTCGTTTCGTATTGCACTGAAGTTTAGAGTCACCGCAGACGGTCGGACGGCGAGATTAGAACTCGGGCACTCTCAAGCTCGGGTTAGAGGACTATGGGTTAACGGTGGCAACCAAGCAAGTTAGAAACGGCATTTTACTCTCTTGCCTATGACGCTATCCTAGATGGTTGTACTGTCTGTTGTCCTGTGACCGTCCGGAGTGACGCCAGATTGAGCTCTAAGGCAAGATGAAACGCGGCTGTTCCTACGTACAGTTGGAACCATTATGTAACTTCCCCATGAATTAGTATTGGCAGGGAGACAGGTGCCAGGGAACTGTCAGTGTATACTCGGCTGCGAGGGTCATGGTTTGCTGAGACTGGCATAGCACACGCTTTCAGACCGCCTGGCAGACCTGTGGCATAACAGTAGACCTGCGGTGAGCGCACCCTACCATTGTATATTCCCGATCGAAACCGACAGGGCAACGGGCTCGTGGCCCAGTGATTAGAGGCGTGGACTTCTAACTAACAGGTCGCGAGTTTGAGCCTCCGATGTTCCACACTTCGGGGTCGGATATGACTGGCTGGGGACGGCTAATCAGCCAGAAATGGCCATTCCAGTCTCCCTTGTCTTTGTCGGTAATGTCATTCTGCCTATATCATGCGCCGCTGTGTGGCTGCTGGTTGGGCTCCAGGGAGAGCCCGTAGGCACAACGGAACGAGTGAGTTTCGTAAGGACGATCGGTGAGCGCACCCAACCATAATCGGAAGATAATTAAATGGCGTTCCTCCCCCCCCCCTGATGTTGGCGTGTGCCTAGCAAATGGCGGAAAAAGGGCTACAAGCGGCCATCGCAGTCTGCCCCGTCTCATTCAGTATGGATTTTTTGCTCAAAACTTTCGGGGTCGGATCTCATTTCGTAGCCGTACCTACAGTGAACAAGCCCCAGCCTGACTCTTAACCCCTAACCTCTAGTCCCCAGCTCCAACCTCTAACCTTAGTCCCTAACCCCTAACACCTAACAGGTACTGCTACAAAATGAGATCTTGTCCTTCCGGGAGCCCTGTAATTTGCCCGCATCGCGTTCTCCAAACTCCGAGGTTCTTTTTGCGCGCATCGCTCAGCATGCATCCCTCAATGGACGCCCTTAGCCCCACGTCTTCGGGCCTTGAAGCATGCGACTGCCACACTAAACCCTCTTTCAACATTGACGTAGGCAAAGTCGGCAAACTTACCTTTCCGAATATTCAGCATCGGACCGGTAGAGTTAATGAAAGCCACGTTCGAGCAGCAAAAAATTGAATAAGAGCTTGCAAACAGTTGTCCAGAGGTCAGTTCTGACAGAGGGCTGACCTTACCTTCTTCAATGTTCATATGGGTATCATTGCTGAAATTAAACCATCCAAGGACCCTTCCATGCATTACTTATTGTTCAACTTGGCCAAAAGTTGCCTGACGCGACTGCTTTCGCAGTACTGGGCAGGCGCTGGCCAGCCAGTGTGATTGGACTATTCAGTCTGGGGAACCCAAAGACGTAATTCCGGAGCTCGACAGGGCCAATGATGGTAATAATTTGATGCTGAGTTCTGCTTCACAGTCTCCGCACTGCGCTCAATGAAACAGTGCAGCGCTCTCCTGTGGGGTTTAGATCGTGATATGCATTTCATCAGCTGCAACACTTGGACCTCGCTCGACACCAACAATAATGGCTTCTTTCGATCGTCCACATGAGCTCACTTTCTCTCACACACATGCATGTTTTCTATATAATATATTTGAATAGGCAGAATGCGCCGCTGTGCGGCTGCTAGTTGGGCTCGAGAGAGAGCCCGTAAGGCACAACGGAACGAGTGAGATCCGTATGAACGATCGCTGAGCGCCCCCTATCATCACAACATATTTAAATTTATAAGGGCGGCGAAAATCACTGCGAAATTTCAGGCAACCTAAATAGCCATTTCTTACAGAGCGCAGATTTTCCATATGGCCGATGAGAAATTCACCCAAAATCGACATCCGGGCGTGACTGGAATACTTCAGGACGAGGTTATGCGATAATTAATATTGCGGTCCCACTTAAGTAAACTTTTCGAGTTAAAAACATACTTCAGGATTTCGGTTAACATTTCATGAGGTAGCACATCTACGGGGTACACCGGCAGGCTTTCACTCATCCAGTCTAATTTATAGTTATCTCCCGACCGAAGCATATTCTTTTGCTTCGATATTACCTGATCCATTCAGTACCACGTACTGGTTATTGTACAATTTTGACATTCACAGACAAATTTATACCAGTAACCAATGCTTGTTGTACGTAATTACTTTCCTAATTTCCTTTGACACTTGCTTTGCACATTGTTTTTATGACGTTATCGTAACCAAAAGGGAGTTCAAAGGCGCTCGCCTACCTTTTCCTTAATAAATCTGATCTGATTGCTCGACCGTCGCATGTGACGGCGTCTACCGTGCATCCCACGGAGAGTGGGCGCAGTACCAGTGACTTGCGCAGCATCCCCCGCACTCTCCACTCTCTCTCTCTCTCCTCCTTCTCCTCCTCTTTCATTTACCCTGCTCCTTTGGTCAGGGAACGTCAAGGTGAACGCGGGCGCAGTGACTGATGACGAACGCAAACAGTCCGGCCACGCGGGATAGCACATGCATGAAAGCGCCGTGACCGGACAGAACACGTGCGTTCGCGTTTTTGTGAATTACAGTGGGGCGACAGTTAGCTGACGACAGCAAGTAAAACAAGGAGCAGTCGGCGGTACTTTTTGATTACTCGTCACTTAGCATGTAAACTTCGGCGTCCAGAAGAGAACACGCAAAACACACCGTGACATTTTTTCATATTTATATAAAGAAATTGGTCTTATCGCCGGTGCCACGAAGGGGACAAAACTTGTAGTGAAAATGTCAAAAAATAGACAAGCCCT